TTCCATTTAAAAAAATTAATGTGACCTTGACCTGACCTTCGCTACGCAACCCAAGGTCAAACTGATGTGATCAGTAAATACATCTTTTTAAACGCCACAACTTTTGTCTGAAACATTTTTTTGTAAAACTTATATTTTTCCTGATATTCGGGCGTCCCGGTACTTTCCGAACACCCTGTATATATATATATATTATCTGTAATAATTCTATTTCTACTCCCTCTCACTCGCATCCTTACACGGCACATTTCCTCCTACGACTAAGCGAAACTGCGACGTGCGGTGTTCCTCCCTAGTGCTCATCGGTCAATTACAAGTGATTTGAATATTCGAACTCGCCGCCGCGCGATCCAGAACAAGGTTCCCCAGAGTCGACAGCATCTAGAGGTCCAGGAGGTGCCGATCCACGTAAGCCACGAGAGCGCCATCCAGAGGTACAGAGAGCAACCGCATAGTGGACGACCACTGGTAAGTCATTATCTACATTATTTCTATACACGCGAAACTACGATTAAAGCCTGCGACTGTCCGACCCACCGTAAGGTTATATTACGGTGGTTATACTACGCGTCTTGCGCGAAATCCATCGCGATTATCCTTGATCGCATGGATCCCCGGATAGAATCACGTGATTCGTTTAACCCGAAAAATTGCGATCTGATCCCGTGCTAGGGTTCGAGCGCTATTCTTCACGGCAGCGTGGCCGCAACTCGCCGGGACGTAACATTATTAAGAATAAATCAATTCTACATAGATTCTTATTAATTTAAAAAAAAAGTTGGTAAAGTTAGAGATGCTGGATGAGAAAATAAACAAAAGATTTTGCGGAAGAGTTAAAATGTAGCAGTATATTTAAGCTATATTTAAGGATTTATTGAAAAAATTCAGCCTATATTCATGCAAGTGACGCGTCAGAATATATAAATAATCTGTCTCGCGGACAAATGAGAATATAAGTAAACCTTTGGAAAGATAACATTTTTTAGAAATCTTTGCAAATTTATATGAAAGAAATCTACAAATGCAATGCTCAAAAAAGAATTATTATGTCATATATTTATTTCCCCAGTCATTTTATAATTAACAATGTTATCATGCAGAAAAAATCTCAAATAGATCCATTAATTTAAGGTGTCTTTTTTATGTGAACAATTTGTTAATATCTTAGTTTGAATCTAATAAAAAACAATTACAAAAATTTGCTATTTCTATAAAATGGTACATTGTATTCTTGTCATATCTTATATATACTATAAGTAATATAGTATTATTCATATGGTAATCTTTTCTACTGCTTGTATGTTAATTTGCGAATATATTGAGGGAAGAATATCTTTTCTTGACGCGACAGTCAATACAGAATAGTCTGATCCTTCTTGGATATACTCTGATATCCATTAGCCGGTGTCAACGTCGGCAGATTGTTGGAGATACCATTGGCGTTCTGAATGCTCTTGTATATATTCGTCGTATCGGTGACGACTTCGATCTCTTGAAAGTTCTGAAGTCTCTGAATATCCTTGTCCTTCCGCAGTCTGGTGTTGGGTAATTTACGTAGTTTCAAGATTTGGTGTGGAGTGAGATTCAGTTCTTTGCAACATACGCATAACAGCGCTTGGTATGTTAACTCACTTCGCGGCAATTCTATCTCTACGAAATCCGGATCCGCTGCGTTGGCAATTCGAATTTTCAATACCAATTCTATAAAGATAAGTTGATGCATTACTGTTCAGCAGATGTATTGTATATTACATTCTATTGCAATAAGATTTACTAGACAGTTGTAATTTATGGTTAACCTTCTGAAAACCGGCTATTTTTTTATCGACTCTTTTTAAGAGCTAGAACTTTTTTGTCAATGTCATTGGATTGAATGGGGAAAAAGCTGACACCGCTGTCGTGCCGATATATCGGCTTCCGGTCCTCCAAAGGTTAAGTTTAATTTAGACTACAACTATTAAATGACTTGAAACAATATTGATTTGCATTATCAAAGTAAAAAGAAAAAGAGTAAAAGCAAGTTAGAGTTAACTTTCATATTGTTGTGATCTATCAAAAACAATTACAAAATTATTAAAATGCAATCCTTTATTTGGAAATGTTGCTCTCAAGCAAAATATTGATTTCTCATAAATTATATATAAGAATGATTAGATACATGACACATTTATTTAGCATTGTTGTTTTGAAACAACATTTGGTTATATGTTCTGTTTGTTAGTATTTCAACAGTTTTGAGATACTTGTCACTAGATTACAAATTTGTTGAAAATATTTTCAAAATAATTTTGAAATAACATAACTGCATATCATGCAAGAATCATCATCTATTCTATTTGAACACTCACAGAATTGTCTCCTTAAATCTTTTTGGGTTTGCCAAATAAAAGTTTAATCATTACAAAACCTAACATTTTGATCCTATTATTCTCCTCAGACTTTCTTTAGCAATACAAGTCAAATTGATAATCTAATGATTACAAATTTATTACTTTTTCTGAATTTATAAATATTTGACTATCAGTTTGATTTCTGCATTATTAAAGAAGAAGCTCCAAATAATAGGACAGAAATGTTTGATTTCACTAAAATTACATTTAAATAATGTTTTTTTTTCATTTCTCTGTACTTCTGAAGAGCTATAGAACATTCTCTTTATTCTTTCTTTACAAAGATTATATATTCTTCAAAGCCTATCTAAATTTACTGAAATTTATATCATACCATCATGGAATGACACAATGACTGCGCTCTCATCATAGGCATTATGTTTGATCTTGGAAGGATTCATGGCAGCGTGCAGAAAGTCTGGTTGTGTGTATGCAGATGTAACAGTGTGTAGAGACAAATCACTTGTGATTCGTGTATCATTGCTAGTGCTCAGAAGATATAAAATTTGTTGGTTGTTGCACAAAGACATTGTGGTCTCTCCTGTCTCTGTTCGTGCATTTTTGTCAGCACCATTTTTTAACAACAAGGCAGCAACATCGAGATATCCCTTTTTACATGCCCAATGTAAAGCAGTCCTTGAAAAATACGAATGTAATGAGTGAAATAATTTTGAAGGTATCTCAGGAAATAAATCCATTTAATATATTCATATTATAAAAATGACTTTTTATATGGAAAAATACTCCAAATACAGCGCAAGTACGAAGATATTGAAGGGAAACTACCATCCGCTGACAGGTTGTCGCGCGTTAACGTCAACGCCTAAGTTTACGAGATCCTGCACGGCATCCGTATCGCCAACGCAGACCGCTTCTCGCAAACGTTCTTCAAATATTCTTTTGTTGTCCATATCGCGGCGAAGTACGCTCACCGCTTCACTATGTGTCACATTTCTTTAGTGTCGAATTCGCGCGTATCTATCGCTCAAAGTAGACGAAGTGACAATCAGTGATAGCACGAGAATCGAATATACACAAACACATATGCACATACAAACGATAAAAAATATTTCACATTCTAGCCGACATGAGAATGCGCCACAATCCTACCTTATAGGCCTTGCATACTAGACGCGATTGGCGATAAGCGATGAGCGATATCCAATAAGGGCTGTATTTTAAATAGAAATGAGAATTCCTATTGGATATCGCTTATTGTTTGTCGTTCAGTGTGAGAGGCTTTTTAAGCTCGTATCAAACTCAGGGTACAGTCCAGCGGGCGCTGCAAATGCTTTGTAGCGTTTTACTTCTTTCTCTTCATTCGAATCCGATGAATAGAACAAGAGGGAGAAACGCTGTGCAGTATTTGTAGCAGTTGCTGCGCCCTCAATGACATATATACATATAGCGTGTTCGACTGGCCCTGGGTTAATCGCTCCGAGAACGATTATTGACGTCATAAGTCTCTACTAGCCAATCATATAGTTTATAAGTACTTGTTCGACCAATAAACGAAGGCTGAATAATCCAGAGTGGGTTAACCCAGAGCCAGTCGAACATGCTAATAGACCAAATATTCCTATACTTCTGCAGCGAGCAGCGAGTGAAGCCGGAAGTTGGCAGTTTAAAATAAAGTGAGAAAGTTGATTTGCCCCTAGTGCTTTCTTATCCGATCGTATAGAAAGAATATGGCCGCATCATGCGTGAAACGGAACGCACCCTGTATTATACTATATAATACAGTGTATAATACAATATATAATATCTCAGTATAATACGTGCCCAATCCTGACCCTGACTGCAAGTACTATCAGTACTACCAACAGCGTTTCTAAATAGGTTACAGTGCACTGCGAAAGCACTTCGACGAGTTTGTGACGCCATGAATTTTGATGTCACTTCTTGCTGCGGCTACTGCAGCTAAAGAGGTAAAGCAGTGGCAGTAAGGTGATGCGTTCCCATTTGTCACTTTACAGTACCTCGACAGTGCTCGAAGTTAAAACGGAACGGATACAATATAATATAATAATAATAGTAAATAATAATAATAATAGTATAATATAATTTCAAGATAATTCTTTTCACAGATTATATTCACGAGGTAATTACAGGTTATGTGTAGCAAGTCCGTTAACGTTCCGATCCTTAAAATCATTGCCATGGGGAACCCGGCGACGAAGCAACGGAACGGAGCAATAGCGGAATCATTCTCATTGGTTGCCTTTCGCTTAGTATCTTTTCCGTTATTGTTCCGTTCCGCTACTTCTTGCTTCATCGGGACTAGAGATGCCCGATTCTTAATCAATTCGATTCTTTTCCTAACAAATTTAAAGAAAAAGGATTGTTCGTGCTGCTTGCATGTTTCATATTTTTCGCTTTTAAAAAGAGACGGATGTCTGATCAGACGCTTGGAAGAAACAATCAAGTTGGTTGTCTCGCTTTTGCTTCTTCCAAACATTCCAGCATACTTTTGTCTGGTTTTAAATACGAAAGTTTTAATACAAAAAGTGCGAAGAATGCAAACAACACGAATAAGCCTATTTTTGGGGAAACAATCGAATCGATTCAGAATCGGGCATCTCTAATCGGGACGTACTCTTATAGCCATACTTTATTCCCATTATAAACAGTGCTTAATGGAGAATTCATATTACGTCCGACATCCGATGTCCAATAAGAGAATTGATTTTCTGGAGACAAAAATGTCGCCAGTTAGAAACTCTAGCAAAGAACCTCTACTATTGGATCTCGTATCGTTTACGTCAAATGTCAGACACAATGTGAATTCTTTATTATTCTCGAAAAATGTCGCATATAATATTTCTATAAAAAGCTATAGTTCATGTTATGCATACTATAATTTTTCATAGAAATATCATATGCGATATCTTTTAAGAATATAGTCCCAGAATACAGTTTTCACTTTAAAAGTAAAAAATGCCACTTAGTTCAGCTAAAAAGAACAGACCTTTGGTAGCCGACAATGGCTACTCCATCATCATATGTTTTGCGCACACTATCGTAAGCCGCACATATATACTTGTAAGCTGTTTAAGGCAGTGCCGACTCATCGCCGAAAAAATCTCTACCAAAACACCGTTTTATTCTTATCGAAAGGTATTCGCGGAGTTAACTTTGCAATTTCTTGACGTACATCGGATTCGTAGCTTCCTCAATATGATTATAACTCTGAAAAACTTACAACAGCAAACGTTTACGATAGAAATCGACTCGTCGCAAACAGTAAGTAAAATCGGATGAGATTAAGTGAGATCTGGCACTTTTATTGACGAACCGGTAAAATATGCACGTATATTATCGCAGGTCAAAGATCTGAAGCAAAAGATCGAAACGCAAAAAGGTCTCCCCGCGGAACAACAAAAATTGATATATGCTGGTAAGTAATGTAATTGAATAACCTAACTCCATCCGTTGCCAATGTGTGAAAAACGGTATTTATAGTACAAACGTACGCTGTATTATAATATATTAAATGCTACGTAGTCCACGTATGCGTTAATGTATATCTTCCTGGAAATAAGAATGATTTCGCAAAAAAATGTTGATAGGTTATGTTTCCCGTTACGAGAGTGATCCGTCGCGCGAGATTTGTACACTATGAAAATTTTCAGTCGCGTAATTGTGACGATGATGATACAAAACACTTACAGGAAAAATATTAGCAGACGAGCAGCCGTTAACAGAATATAATATCGATGAGAAGAAATTTATAGTTGTTATGGTAACAAAGCCTAAAACCAGTGCTACTCCGAAAACAAGCGATGAGCAACGTGCGGAAGGAGATAACAAGGAGGAATCCACTTCAAGGTGACTTCAACATTGTAACACTTTGCATGCAAAATGTGATAAATATGTCTCACTGTAAGATGCTGGAGCTATTAGCTATTGTGACGAGTAATCACAACATATAACAAAAACACTCCTCAAACATTACTATAATTGTGGAATACTTTCTTCAGAAATAAGATAAGTGTATAAATATATACAAGATGCAAAAAACAAGAATTCAAGACTTGCAGGATAGGTAGTACTTATTATATTGAGTAAGTGTCTAGTGGTATATAGGTAAAAAAAATCAATTCTTTTGAAATTATATGTTTTTTAATTTTGGTAATGCTAGTTATTTGTGTGTGCTTCCAATGATTATGCGCGATGAATGGACAAACGAGTACCTTACCATCTTATTACTTTGATGTTCACAGAAGGTGTTTACATGTTCTCTTTCAATAATTTCTATTCTTCAAATTCATTCCATTTCTACACAACAATTACATAGTCTTTTCAATCATCTTGAATCGATTTGAATTCACTCTTTCTTTTTATGGAGATATATTAAGAACTTAGTGTATTCTTTACTGATAAATAATGCAAATCGGTGATTACATAAGAGAATCCAAGATATAGCTGAACTGATTTGAGGAAAATCAGGAATTTTTGAAAGTTTGCAATTCTGTAATACAAAGATATCAAGCATGTGAAATAGACATGTAGAATATTTTTTTATAAATATCAAATTAATATGATAATATGAATATTTTTTATAAATATCAAAGTAATATGATAAAGTAATAATATGGCTATAGTTATACAAGAATGATCCAACCTATAAAATTATGAGTTTTGATACCAGTGGGCAGTCCATACATATATAAAACAAAAAAGATCCAATTCTCATGGATGCCTAAAATTAAGTTTTTATTTTATACTAGTTGCGTCATTTTTTACTAGTTGCAACTGTTTAAAAACATAATTTTAAAAGGGTTGATTTTCCAACCTATGTTAAATATTTTTTATTGAGTATAATTTATGGTATAATTTGTCTACCCTGTAAGTCTTGAACCTTTCTTTTTTTGACACATTGTATATGAGAAATATATTTCAAATTTGTATTTCTGTTATAGCTCAGTAGCGCAACCTAGTCCAAACCTTAATGTTCAAGATACAACGCGAGCAGCTAGTAATGTGCAAGAGCAAATTGCGGCAGCTGCACCAACTGCCGGGTGTGGTCAAGCTGAAAGTGCCTTGTTGATGGGGGAAGATTACAATACTATGGTAAAGAACATCATGGATATGGGGTATGTATAGAGAAATGATGCATACCAAATAATTATTGATATTTACGCGATATCTTTATATCCATATTATTCATTTACGCGTTAGGTACGAACGTGAACAAGTTGTACAAGCATTACGCGCAAGTTTTAACAATCCTGATAGAGCTGTGGAGTATCTTCTAACAGGGATACCAGCGCAGCTGTTCGAGGATCCGCCTGAGGATCCGCCAGAAGCTCAAGAACAACTCCAGGATCAGAGTCAGGATCCGTTAGCCTTCTTGCGTATGCAACCGCAATTTCAACAAATGCGCCAAGTCATTCAACAAAACCCGCAGTTGTTGAACAATCTTCTGCAACAAATTGGTTCAACTAATCCTGCTCTTTTGCAGCTTATTTCTCAGAATCAGGAGGCGTTCGTACGCATGCTGAATGAACCTGGTTAGTCTCATTTAATGCATGTTGTATCACTCCAACGTACACACATCGTATTTGAAAGATAACTCAATCATCTGTTTTCTTCAACAGTGGAGCCTACTGCAGGAGCAGGGGCACGAGTCTTGCCAACAGGTGGCGTAGCATCTGCGGCTGCTCCTGGCGGTCTAACCGGAAGTGTTGGTACAGGTGCAGCGGCGGGCGCAGGAGGTCTAATCCAGATAACACCACAGGACAGGGACGCCATCGAGAGGCTGAAGGCATTAGGTTTTCCGGAACATTTAGTTGTCCAAGCGTATTTTGCATGTGAAAAGAACGAAAATCTCGCAGCTAACTTCCTGCTTTCGCAAAATCTCGATGACTGAAGCGCTCATTGATTTTATTTCGAGCAATGTGAGTAAAAAGGAAAAAAAAGGGAAAAATAAAAGAACTGATATGAGGAGGGTGGATAATTGCACATTATCATTTTTTGACTTTACACTAATCATCTTTACTTTGTATATAGGTATATGCAATATCTATGCTATTTTATTTGTTGTGTAGATAAAACCTGGTGTGTTTGGTAAGCGATTAAATCTAAGATAAACGCGTATCGCAACAGTTACAACCGCCAACTCTTTTGAGTATTGTTTCATATTTAAAAGAATACATTTCATTTAATGTGTGACATGTGTCATTTATGAGCGAGAGAATTGCTTACAGCAGGCAGTGTTATAATCCATCCTTACAGCCTACAAGTGCTATACTATAAGGATCCTACGTTTTTTCTTTAATATGATCATATTTTTATATAAGAAAGCCCACTACGTTACGAGAGATGATACGAGAGAGAAAAATATAAATCCCTCGCAATGTCTATACGTTGATGGTTGAGTAGCATCATACGAGAATGTACTCGACCTCGCGTCACATAGGTATGTTTTATACATATCTAAATGTCTACATGTAAGTATAACACGTGTACACTTTGTACATTTATATCGGGCTTTCTAATATAAAAATTATAGAGTGCATTCATTCATGTATAATCACGTATACACACACACACACACACACACACATATATATATATATATATACATGTATATATATATGCGTGTATGTACTTCTATGTACGTGCCTATGTATGTATGTACGTATGTAAAGAAAAATTTCTTATATTTAGATATATAACAAGAGTGAAAAACGAATTACTGCTTTAAACAGTGTTCAATGCTACTTTGCATGTTAGAAATTACAATAATTGATTATAAACAAGAAAATTAAGCTACTATATATAATTTATTTAATGCCATTATAAATAGATTATTCAATATAAAACTATCAAATTATTACAGTTCAATATATCTATCAAAATATTGAGTGCTTGTCATTAGTAAGCTTGGTCTATAATATGCTCTATCAAACTAATTATAACAAATAATTAAAGTAAAATAGTTAAATGACACATCTATTATATAATGTTAAAGTAACAGGCATTTAAATTATAATTGTTGCGCATATATTATACGGGAATTCTTTAATAGTATTTTTTATGAAATAAAATAATAGATTAATTTAAATCTTTTATGTGATAATTATATACATACGTAAGTACATACTTGTGCATGTTACATAATCAAGAAACTAAATCTTTGAATTTGTACCATACAGTTACTTATTAATATCATTAAAACAATAATAAGAAAACTTTTTATTGCTCTTTTTCAGTACAAAAGAAATATAGAGAATTATTTCTTGGAGAGTTCTAGCATAAAACTCTAATCCATTTGTTGTGCTGACTCAAGTTTTATTCCCTTTTTTTATAATATAGAAAAATTAATAGAAAAAGAACTGCTGTTAAAGAACACACTCTCCATTGTGTGCTCAACACACTTGTAATACATAGCATAAATGAATAAATTACGATTTACAAAAATGCAAGTGAGTTCATTGTATTTCTATTGTTTTAATGATTCTTACAAAAAGAAGAAAGAACAAATACAAATAATTTCCCTTCCACATTTGAATTTCCTTGCAAAAAAGTTGTATTTAACTATTATAGTTTACAGCATAAATTTACAATAGGCATAAGATGTTATAAGTTTAGTATGATATATACTGAAAAACAAAATTGAGCAATTTAAAAGCAAAAATTCAAAAACTTAAAGTATCCTGTTTTATAATAAAAGCTAATTTTATCTATTAAGTATTACTGTCTGAGGTATTTTATTTATTGAAACCTTTCATAATTGTAAATTCATAATAAACTGTGATGTAATTGAATGAATATTACTTTATTCTTAAACAGTTCTAGAAAATGGAAAACAAATAGTAATTATTTAATTGATTCTTTGAATATTACTACAAGATTAATATTGCAATTAGCTAATAGGTATCAACCATGTATTTCTACTTCATGAAATACTGAAAAGCTGTATGCATTTTTAATTATATAAGTGAATAAAATATATCTAATTAAGAAATCATTCTTTGTAAAAATTATATAAAATATCTTGATTTATGTTTATATATATAGAAAAATTATACTCAATAATTTATCTTATATAGAAGATACTTGCATATTATTTTTTACATACAGTACATGTACAATTGCACATACATACAGAACTTACAATAGTAATAAAGATCCATCCAAATTATAAAAGAACCAGTTATTTCTTATTTTTCATGTTATTTACATATATCTTAAGAAGCTGAAGTACTAATATCTTTAAATATTATACCTTTGCTTCCAAGATCTTTTTTTGCTTCTTCTATTTGCTAAAAGTGACAACACATCCATATTAGATATATTATTTAAAGAAAATACTTTTTAAAATAAAAAGTAGCTCCAAACCAACCTGTTGAAGCTCGATAGCTGCGTTTTTACAGGTGTTGAAGGTAAATACTCTGTACATTATGACAGTAGCTGCAAACAAACCAAAGAGGAACAAGAAAGTAATTGGAAGGAAAAGTATAATGTTTCGCCATTCCTTGACAAGAGCAGAGTTGCTTGCGAGTACAGCATACCACACACTGAAAAGTCCTGTTACAACCAACAGCCATTCGTGCAGTTTTTTCATCTGTAATTGTAATATCTTCCAGTTAGTAAAAAATAAATTAGTTAAATAAAAAATAATCCATTAAGTAAAAAATAAATTGTAATAAAATATTAAAATATTCTTTAAGTAATGTACACACGCATTAAGAGTTCACAAATAAATAACGTTTTATTATATATTATATGCAACAAATGTAAATGGAGTAAAATATACGAGAGAAACCTTTTAAATTTATGCCGATATGAATCTTAATGCGAGGAAAGGAAAGAGATGAACAAATCCAACATTAATCTTCACAACATCTTCTAACCTAACCATGTGGGTCTGTACACGCTTTCGCGGAGGCAAATTACGTTAACTTACGTTGTTACGATGTGAGACAATATTGGCTCGATAGGACTGATTAGAGTTGGTAGTTAAGTTGGCCCTCTGTCGGTTAAAATAGATTTGACTTGTCTGATTGGTCGTGCCTGATTGCAGAGTGTGCAACTTCTCACTCATAAAATCATAGGCCCATATTCTGAACTTTCTTTTATCGATAAAAATGCCTTACATGTAGTTTCTCAGCCAATCAGATGGCTTCTAAGCCTCTTTTAGAGGCACTTTTATAGATAAAAGAGGATTCAGAATATGGGTCATAGCTTTCTAATTGTACTTTTAAAACATTATTTTTTTCAAAAATTATAACTCATGAAATTTTGTTCGTTTTACTAAAAATAAAAATGAAACAATCAAGAAAAAATATAAGTAGAATAATGAATATGTATATCGTTACACACACATATCTCTAATTTGTGAATTCTTCATTATCCATATACCATGTCAATCGCAAATTCATTTTTATCGTTTTCCTTTTGAGTAATGGCGACTGTCGTGATATGCGATTGACAATAAATTTGCTGTGAGAGCTGTTTGCACACCCAGCGAACTACCTGTCTTCAATATTTTGAAACATTGGTTTCGAAATTCAGTATTTATACTGTGCTTGACAATGTCGCTTAATGTGGCACTTAATATCGGACAATACTTCAACTTTTCATTACATTTATCGTAACTGTCGCGTGTAATTTTTTTATTCATGCTGATGACACCTGTGGTAGAACTATGTAAAAAATAGACGAAGAAATGGAAAAAAATTTCCTGTCTATACAATCACGTGCAACGGTTTATCGTGCAACGATTCGTCGAGTTGTCACATGTGATTGTATAGACAGGAAATTTCTATCTAGTTCTTTGTTATTATTTTAACGTAGTTCCACCACTGTATTTAATAACGGATATGGCATCTTAAGACAGTACTTAAGATGATCTTAAATATAAGATCGGACATGAATACCAGCCAATGGATGCTTTCCAGTTACAATATCCCTAGACATTTTCATGCATACGGCGATACAAGTTGCATTCCAATTGTCGTAATCGTCGACACAACACTACACATCCGTACTCAGCTCGAGGGTTACTAGTCGGCTGTGTAACTAGTGTTTTCTAGTGACAATTAAAATTAATAAGCATTGCGGCTTGAGAAGAGACCATTTGCGACGTGAAGTGGATAGTATCTTTTTTATTATTTAGATCTTATTATTTATTATTAAAAAATACCAAGGTATGGGCATGTTGAAAAATAATCCTAACCCTACCCGACATACATACACATTAGTACACACTTTGTTTCAATTGAGCCGTGCACAACGTTACACTTTGTGCATTTCTGTGTACATGTGTGTCAAGAAGTGTTAAACAATTGGAAAGCACCCAATAATGAGTGCGTTCAGCGAACTCAACAGTTGGACACAGTTGAGCAATTCGTCAATGTCCCAAGTAGAACAGGTTGTCTATTGGTTAACGTTCTTAAAGTTAACTTTTGCAACTATCTATAAGATAACAAGTCAATGGCTGCGTTCAGCAGAAAAAGCTGCTTTGCAACTGTTGTAAAATTCGTGAATCTAATTGGAGCATGCTCTTAATTTTGGTTGCATCCATGTACCAATCAGATTCACGAATTTTACAACAGTTGTAAAGCAGCTTTCTTTGCTGAACGCAGCCATTAATTCGTCTCTATTAATATGACATCGATTAAATAACAGTTGGTTAATAGTTAGTTCATTTACTCATCTTATGGCTCTTGCACACAGGACGCGGTAATGCTTGTCGCGCGGCGGAAGTTCGCGCGACAGCCAATCAATATGCTGCTTTCCGTAATAACCTTCTAACTCTTACGGAAAAACAACTTTTGATTGGCTGTCGTGCGGACTTTCCCCGCGCGGCAAACATTACCGCGTCCTGTATGCAGGAGCCATTACCGCGCGGCAGAAATCCGCACGACAGCCAATCAATATGTTGTTTTTCCGTAAGAGCTAGAAGGTTATTATGGGAAGCAGCATATTGATTGGCTATCGCGCGAACTTCCGCCGCGCGGTAAACATTTGGTTTGTTCTTTTTAGCTGCACTGCTGAACTGGTGCAATAAGTTAGAATGAGAAAACATATACTTGTCTCACTTTAACTTATTGCACCAGTTCAGCAGTGCAGCTGAAAAGAACAGAGCAATAATCGCGTCCTGTATGCAGGAGCCATTACTGCGCGGCAGAAGTCCGCACTATAGCCAATCAATATGTTATTTTTCCGTAAGAGCTAGAAGGTTATTACGGAAAGCAGCATATTGATTGGCTGTCGCGCGAATTTTTGCCGCGCGGTAAGTATTACTGTGTCCTGTGTGCATGAGCTATTACCGTTCCCGCTATTCCGACCAGCTATCCGATCGCGCGTGAGACGCACTGTTTTAAACGAAAATTTTCATCACGTGATCTGATACTATGTCTTGATTGGCTTTCGCAATAAGCCAATACAAATGATACGAAAAAACATAGTATTCGATCTATCACGGAAACTTAATAAAACAGTCAGCAATATAATCAGCAAACTACATAATTTCTAGCACGGGAGCCAACAAAGATAACCAACAAAATAACTGCAAAAAAGCATTACGTGTTGCTGAGTTAACATGCCGTTCCACGCAATTATTGCAGGAATGCGACCGTGCGCGCATTTTGTCAATTCGCGATTGCAGCGCGATTCTTAATCTGCGACCTCTGACGGCTGACAGTTCATTTTCGCATGCCCGACACTGCGTGCGTTCGATCGATAAGAAAGGGCGCGAAATTCGCGTGAGTACAACGACGAGCGATGCGAGGAAAGAGACACACAGATAGAAGGAGAGAAAAAGATAGAACGTTCGGTGTCGGTACACGAATTTTTACATTTCGCTAACGTAGTGATCAGTCGTGGGATCGTTCGTGTAGAAGGAAAAAAAAAATATATGGTTGCGACGGTAACGGTGACAGGACTGTTCTCAGGACGAACGGAGCGTGATCAATCGACTGGAGTAGAAGCATCGGAGAACGTGTTACGCCGACGCTTAGTGTTGCCGAATTTGACGTTTCGTGTAGTTGCGTGACAGCTCGAGCGACTCGAATGACAGAACAGGAACACAGGGACGATCCTAACCTCAAGGAGGGGCGAGCAACCTTGCCGCGCAAGATTCGTCACCGGTAAGTCGTGCTTCGTACACTTGCTGAAAAGATGCGCTCTTCATTCTCTTCGGGGGGAAAGTAAAAAGAAGATAATATCGCGGTACTCTCACGTACTGCGAGATTCAAGTTAACAAGCATCATGAGAGAGAAAGAGAGAGGGAGAGAGAGAATGAGAGAGAACGGTGTGATTGTAAACGTCACGATAACATCACGCTAGCACGTTGCTACCAGCCCGGTGTCGAGCCGTGATACACGGATTGCCGGCTACGTAGCAGGACCGCATCGTCCGAGACCAATCGTCGTGGCTCCTACGTCGCCTGACATTCCGCTGAACCAATCGTCGCTCTCCTTTCATTTTTTCACGGCCTCGTGAGAAAATCTATAAACTATGCGCACACGCACGGTCTCTCCTCTATTCAAATGCGATCACGAGCGCGGTGTGATGACAGCGTGAAGTATTTTTGCTTTTCATGAAAGAGGGAAATTGTATCGAGGGAGGGAGAACAAAATTAAGAAGGAGTTGTGAATTTCGCTGCTCATACAGTGGATTGCAAAACGATTTAAACATGACGCAATTGGAAGCTGACCAAACTATCTAAATTGGGACTGATTATCGACTGACTTACGTAATAATAATAATTAATGATATAATTAAGAACATTAAACAATAATCAATTATAATAATATTATTCATAATTAATAATATAATTACTAGGCAAGTTGGCCACACATATATATATATATATATATATAGACACACACATATATAGTTATGATTTTCAATTTTGATTGTTTGATGAGTTTCTAATTTTGTTGGACCTAAATTTTTTGCAACCTTACGCGCGCGCGAATTCAAGTCTGACTTTGTCGTTACATTAAGATTATTTTCTTTGCGTCTCGCTACGCTCACAAAGTGTCAATAGATATAAAGATCTCTACGAATTACTGCTAATATCGTCTAGTAGACAACCAAATCTTTATTATCAGTACGTTTGGTGACGAGTTTCTATTTGCAGTTATAAATTTTTCATAGGAACTCGCGCACAGGTGACTCTCGAGAATCTTATCTTGCTTTTGTTACAGTTGTGCTATTAAGATTACGAATACAGGACGCTGTGTGTGTGCGTAGAAAAAAGCGTAAATATTATTTACGCACGCGTATTGCGTTGTTTTACATTCACAATGAATTTTTTTGAATTTTTATATCTATAATAATAATTTGATATAATAAGAACTTGATCGGCGTATCTCGCTTGTGATTTATCAGATATATATATATATATATATATATATATATATATATATGTGTGTGTGTGTACAAAGAATATTATCTTTCTTTTATTGTTCCTTATGGAAAATTAAATTAGAAAATCCTGAATCCCTTTTTTCTATTATTCCTAATCAAGCAGTTATTTTTAAATAAATTTCAGTTAATCGACGCCATCCTTCTTTTTTTTTTAACGCATGCTGTGAGCCGCGCGGCTGTGCATGAACGTTTCGCGGCTGTCCTGCTGCACTTTCAAGTTAAACAGTCTAAGCGACTCATAGACATGCATCCGTTTAAAGAGCGCTGATTAGCTGGGCTTTATTTAAAAGTAACTACTTCATTAAGTATAGTGGAACAAAATGAAATCAGAACTTTCTGATTTAATTTACTATAAGGAATAATGCTATGTACTTAGTAGGCAGGGGGGAAAGATAGCATTCTGTATATTTTATTTATCATAACACACGTGCGCGAATTCTGCGCGCGCGGAACGAAGCCAAGTCGGGTCGCTTGAGCGATCACTGGCAAATAGACGCGCATATCTCTTTACCTGCGTAACAATAGGCGCTTTCGCAGTCTTCGAAAGTGAGGTAAACATAAAATACGTTTTAATGAATATATTTACGTCGCACGTATGTATATATGTAAATGAATGAATAACACTGTGTGGTAGAAGCTCGCCACATTGGTGCGAGAATTGGTTAAACAAAGAATGGCGAGAACGTAATATGAGTCCTTTAGAGGATGATTGAAGTAGAAATTCGACAAGAAGATGAAGAAAAACGCGCAAATTGGAGCGAAAGTTTGAGTCTTTAAAACTCCTGGGTACTCGACGTGGCCATATTGGATTGTGACTTCATAGAAGCGAGGAATAATCGCTGAAAATTCTTGCGTGTCATTTTCAGGTAAAAAGATATTTGTATAAATGAAGAACAATACAGATTGCTTGGGTTTGTACTTGTAAAATGTTCCGAAAATTATTGTCTTTTTTTGAGAATCAATAAATAAATGTGTATATTTGATAGTCGACTATTGTCTTCCCTTTATAATCAGTATTTATAGTCAATAAATAAACTGTAAAATGATATAGCAAAATCATGAAGAAAGATAGGTTAACGAGGAAGCTCGTTAATATTACGTTTGTTATCGACTATCATGGGAAAAGGATGATAGTTCTCGGAGCATTTTACAAATTAAGCGCGATTTGAAGTATTCTTTTACAAAATACAAATTTCTTTCATACAAATTTCCATTCGGAAATGACATGCAATAATTTTCGACATGCTTTTTCTTGTCTTTGACGTTATCCGTGAAGAGTTCGTGGCGAGTATCCAAGAGTGTCAAACTCACTTTATCTGAACTCAAAGGCCAAAGATGCGCATAGATTGGCTCTCGTTCGATACTTACGTATACCGCGAAACGAAGAGTGTACACACGAGGAACGACATGGATAACTGATGTCATCTGAGCTGATGAACGTTGTCATACTATGCCAATAGTATATTCAAAGTCGCGGCTACGCGGCGACGGTGTGTAACGCGGTGACCCTTGAACCCATATACTTAGTCGTGTCCGGTCGAATGACATATGCCCCGTATGAGGGACGGCGCGCGACTTCCTCTGCTTTTGTGAGTATCTTCGCTTGGTTCGGTGCGCGCGTAGTCAGTCGTCTCGGTATCGTCTTCAGTAGTCGTCGCCTTCTCGTCGTGGCCACGAGCGGCGAAAGCACCTGTTAACGCGAGCAACGTCTTGTCTTCGCGGGCATTGTTAGATGCAACTCGACGCGGGAAGAGAAGTGCCGAGGTGAAGAACGTGGTAGCTGGTATGCTACGCTCTCTTCTGGGGTATCTGTTCGGTACTTGCCGTGATTTGTATTGTACTCATGTGCGTGCACACGTGTGCACACTGTGTCTCTGTATCCACGTCTCATTCGGAGTTTTACTCTTCTCCTTCTTCTTCTTTTTTTTTTTTGAATTGAAGGTCCGCGGATCATGGTAATTATGGTGTAACGGCCGGCTGTGCGTTCTTTTTTCTCCTTATTTTTCTTCTCCTTTTGTTTATTTTCCCGTTGAGTTCCTTTCGTGTTGCGAACGTTAGCTCGCATTTCGCACCACTTGCTGAAGACACTGCTTGTCTCTCCCTCAAAAGAGTTTCTCTTTTAAGACTTTCCGTGATAACATTGACTGTCCTGGTAAAACCGATTCTTCTGGGTGAGTAGTTTATTCTCTCCCCATCTGTCTCCTTATCTCTCGAGACACGTTACTTTAAAATTGCTGTTTGTTTCATTTAGCTGTTTCTAAGTTATCTGCTCGAAAGATATAGTCGTATTTGATCTTGAAACTTCATACAAGCGAACGAACGAACGAATGATCGAACGTAGTGCGCGTATACGCGAATGTGTTTTTGAAGGTAACATCGAACACGCGGACGGGCAGCCGAGTGAGCGCGATCCGTCCGAATCTCCCGACACTTCATCAGGATCGAACGAGGAGGTCGTCCCAGAGATTATCCCTGCTTGCTCGTGGTCTATTCGCGAGATGTCGGAAACACCGGTGAGTTTCGTCGTCGGGGAGCCCGATCTCGACCCCGGTCCTGACCCTAGCGAAGTGCTGGAAATCCACGACAGCTTTCCGAGCGAGGGAAGTAAGATTGCCGGCTTGCAGTCGCAGGTGCAGCCGAATATCGTGGCAGGATCGGTAGAACGCCGTAAGCGTCTCAGGTGATACTCTTCTCATCCGTTACAAAACGAGCAAAAGCAGACTCGAATGATTGAGCCCTTCCGAGTGCAAAATTGCCAGTAGTTTCATCCGTTTTGTACCGAGGTCGTACTCGCAATTGTCTTGTACCATCACACAGTTTACCGTCTCCTTGCAATGGTCAATCCATTGTGCAACATCAAAAAGAAAAAAATAACATTCGTAATTTGCACGCAATTATGCAACGTTTCGTGTCGTTGCATGTAAGAAGCAGACAGAAGCAGGGAAGGGAGGAAAAAACTTGAAACACATACACGTTTTCTTTGGCCCTGTAACCTTCCTTCTTCACCTCTGTGACACTGTGACGAAGAACATTTGAGTATTCTTCGAAGCAAATTCGTTACCTTATTCGATAACGATAGACTTTTTTTAATAAATTCGATTCTCTTTGCTACTTAACGCGAAGTTATCTGAGTGCCAAAGCATAACGTGGTTTAGTTTCATCACAACGTTATCATATATTACTTAACAGGATATATTTATCAGATATTTCATTGGTGTTTATATATTGTGTTTAATGTGTTTGAGCTTACATAACTTCGTGTGTGTACTAATTTAAATATGGAGAGTAGTGCAAATGGCATTTTTTATCAAGTCCAGGCGTCTCTGGGAGGAGAGGAGCAAGCGAGAGGGGGAGACTGAGCTTTATTGTGTATTTTGAGACAGTCTCCTTAAGGGATATATACAGGGTGTTCAAAAAGTCCCGGACCGGTGAAATATCTCGAAAACTAAGCATTTTAGAAAAAAATGTTTCAGATAAAAGTTGTGGCGTTTAAAAAGATGTATTTACTGATCACATCAGTTTGACCTT